AAAACAGGAAGCTATAACTGAAGGCAGAGAAAAATGGCTGCAAGTATTAAAACCAGGCAAGACCCTTCTTTCCCACCCACCTGGCACAGCCGAATCCCCACGCAACTTTTGGCTTGGGTTGCTTTGCCCCCGCAAGTTAAAATGCCGTAAGAACTAGTAACTTTCAGATCCACACAATGAAGGAAAAAAGAAAAAAAAAAAAAGAAAAAACAAAGAGATTGCACGTGAATGGAAAGGCATGCAGGAAAGAACAGAAGTGGGTAGGCCAAAACCAGAAGATGAAGGACAACACAGCAGACTTCTGCGGGCTTGAACCAACACCACGTGCGGAGGTGCTAAATACCTTTGACTTGCTCTCGGGTTGAGGGGGTCCTTCTTCTTTGCCATCTGCTTTGAGAGGAAGGGGAAGTTTGGACTCACCGGGTGTCATCATATCTGCAAGACCCATAGGTGCTAATCGAAAACAGGAGAAACAGTTAAGCATGACTATGTAGGAAAAAACACGCTTCCTGCTGCAAGATTGTGGTGCCACGTGAAGCAGAGGTTATCCCACCTCTGTCCTGTTATTCTAGCGTCTGGAAACCTGGAAACCTCTTCAGTTGAAGTGAGGAAACAAAAGAGAACAAACGAGGGGAGAATACAAGCACCCTGCAACAACCACCACTTTACAGAGCAAAATCCACGGTCTTCAACTGCCTCCACATTTGACTGCTACATTTTAACAGAACAACAGCCAATTTTAATAACTATTGCACCTTCCCTTTAGCAACAGAGAAACATCAATGAAAATGATGCACATTTTGCTTGCAATGTTCAATCTGAGAAAAAGGCTGAATTTCCCAGTTACGTCTGTATTAAGGTTGGTGTCCAGCAGATAACTCCTGCCCCTACCGCCTTCAGTATGAATGGCTCAGCTGCTGTGAGCCTTAACTACAGAATTACAAGCTGTAAACCCCGCTCTGTTGGAGAACCCATGCTCAACCTCTTCCCCTCCTGCCAAAACGAGGTGGGACTATAACGAACGCACAAATGTCTTTCTCCGATAATGGCACGCAGTTGCTTCCCAGGGGTGTGAGGAGTTTAAGGGGGTTTTTTATTTGAAGATGCAAGTGCTAAGTATAGTATTATTGCTGCAGCTGCTGGGTTCCTGGATTTCTAGAAAGATGCAAGAAGAAACATTCAGATAAATAGACAGAAAATACTGGGCCGAGCAGATGCTAGGAGGTGCCATGACACTGAATCAATGCAAATAACCAGAGAACAACAGCAAGACACCAGGTGATTCTTTCCCTGCAGAAAACCATGTGCACAGCACTTGCGAAAGACTGGATTATCTTCCCTTCCTCTTTCTTTTTTCTCCCCCTCACGCCCTTCTTTCAAAGAAGGATCTGAGGTAAGAAAAACATAGGATAGAATAACTTACAAGGCAATAAAAAGGCAAATATACATATCCCAAATGTACAAATCTTAAGAATCAGCAAAGCATCATTGTTAAAAAAAAAAAAAACCTAAAAAAAAAAATCTGGTCACTACCAGCCTAGCGTGCCTCTCTGCAAAATGACAATGCCGGCTTGCGCTAGGCAGCAGGCACACTGCGTAGCAAGCCAAAGACAGGAGAGGGAAAAGAAGCTTTAAAAATACTTCACAGATTGCCCACTACAAAATGATTATTGCACATATTCATGTATTACTATGTTTTAGAAAATAATTAGTTTTAATTACAGCAGTGAGAGCATGAGCAGGACTCTGGCGAATACGCTGGCAAGCTTTGCAGTGCTAATTTGCTAATATCTTTAGCATCACTGCAGGTTGAGACTATGGGTCTGCCAAAAAAACCTACCCCGCCATGTGCCATGTGAGTTTACAACTGTATGCTCAACATTCAGCTTTGAACTGCCGGTGTTTTTCATGGGTACATTTTCTTGTTTTTTCAAAGCACATTTGTAGCCCAATCAAGCCCTTAAAGTCATCACAACACATAAATCATAACCGAGATTAAAAAAAAAAAAAATATATAAAAAATTACTTGCAATACTTAAGACTTCAAGAATTGGAACAAAAAGCCTTTTTCAAGTGATGCAGCTGCAGAGGAAAATCTATTGGGATCAGCTAAAAATGCTGTTATTTTTATGTATGTGTGCAAAACCTCAACAAAACAGCCAAGCAATATGATACTGGGAAGCCGGCATCCACTGAGCATTTGATTTGTATGCATTTTGCCCTCATACTCTGTTTGAGGAGCTCGGGCAGCTTCTGACCATTATGAAGTGAAGGATGGTAGCCTAACACATTTTAGTTTTGAATTCCACAGTTAAAAAAAGAAAGTTATTTTTCTTTTAAAGATTTTTTTTAAAATACATGTACAAAATGGTCAAATGTGTGCCACAGTCTGGTTTCAAACTGGGATGCAGAACTGTTACACAAAATCCATTTTAACAGTTAACACATTTCATGCTGTGAAAGCGCTAAAACAGAAGTCTTATTTTCAAAGCAACCAAAGATGACCCTGTCTATCTAAAGCAATTTTAGAGAGGTCAAACAAAGCCAAGTTAACAAACACGCTTCTTCACCAGAATTCTGCATGGCTAAATCCTCTGCTGATATCTCACTGTTATCTAGGTTGGCACATCGTATTTCTATTACAAATAATATAATAATTGTGCCCACTCCTGGTAGTCCTGTTTCCATCAGAATTCGTTTATAAAATCTCTTTTCCAGAGAGGTTTAAGTTAACATCTCATGTAAGGGTAAGTAACTCTAGTCTGCAAACTACCACACATACTCTGGCTGTATGAATCATGTTCAGAAATGTAAAAATACTCATTCATTTTGGCTTTCAAGTATTTCTTGTTGGCATATGTAAATATGACTATCACGAGTTGGAGACAATTATGAAAAAATCCACAGAGTTTCCCAAATTCTGTTTCACTTTTTGTTCTGAACTACTTCCTTCATCTACATCCTTTCTTTCTACCTATATGAGAATAACTACAAGGATTTTACTAGCAAATTGCAAGGTTGTCTAGTTTCCCTACAGCTTTCACCTAAGGTGTTTCCACAGCTACTTTTCTATCCACTGTTGAAATGCTGTTTCATAACTTCTTGCAAATGTACTCTCCAGCAATTTGCAAACTTTTTTTAGCAAAGCAGTAGAGTGAGAACATTGTTTTGACCCTTTCTGAGTGGTGAAATACTGTTATTGTCACGAAATCGCTAAAATAAGACACGGTCTCTTTCTACACAGGTACTAATAATTCTGTGTGTGAAGCGCAGACCAAAGGATAAAACATTTTAGAGAGGAGGATAACAGGGAAATCTTGACTCAAAAAGTGTTGTGGCGTACTGTGAATAGGTTTCAAGTACTAGCCTCTGGCTTATTATAAGAATTTAAGAGCTAGAATGATTTCAAAAAGCAAGTATGGGTCAAGGTCCTGAATTAACTATTCCACACTGAATTTAATGTACTAAAAGGCAGGTATTGACATGAGTAAAACTGCAGCAAAGTATTCTTTTTTGCTAAAGGCTGCTCTATCAGTCCCAGAAGATGATGAAACACTGTAGCAGCAGCAATACACAAACATTGTTTTTCTCTTTATTGCTAGCGCAATAACAAATCACACTCTACAAAGCAGAGTATTACACCCTTTGTAAGACATTCCTTCCTCCCTTCCACCCCTAGCACTCTCCCTCCCAAAAAAAGAAAAGAAAAAGAAAAAGCAGTGAATTTGTGACTCGTGTGGAGTTGGCATGGGGATCCTCGCTGCTTTTATGACCACAGGAAAAACAGAAGAGAGGCAACAGTATTGCCTCATGTCCTGCCACGAATGACTGTTCGCCTGCGGGGAAAAGCGCAGCCCAGGGCGCTCGGGCACCTTATCCAAAAGGACCTCACACCGCACCTCCTGTCTGCCTGCCAAGTCTTGTCTGAGGGATGACAAGTGCTTGTGGTTTGGGCCACGGGCATCTCTGTGCCAGGAGCCGGCCTGATTTACAGTCACACGATGACCACCGGATCACAGGCATCGCTCGTTCGGAGCGCAGGTGATGGGATACTTCAGGTGTTACCGACTGCTGACATCCTCCAGAAATTGGATTGAAAGGCGCATTATGTAATAGCTCATACGAAGGTACGCGTTAGAGGAAAAAAATAGTGAAATGAATGGAGGTTTCCATTTTTGAGAAAAATGTAACCAAGCTGCAAAACAGAGAAAATCAATTAAGATTTCTAAAAAGTGCTTCACATTCATAAATGCAATTGCTTTCTCTGTCAGAGATACATCCAAATAAATACAAAGTCAAATTATATAATATACATGAAAAGGTAAGTGTTGTATCTATTTTTTATGCTATTTTTAAGACCACCTTTTAATTCCTTTAGTATAAAATAACTTTTCCTAGAAGTCCATGATTTACGTAAAGTACACAATGTTAAAAATTCGCTGGGGACACTACTACCCAGAAAATGGAAGGTTTCAGTAGGACAGAGGTAGTGAAATTAGGAAAGGATCCTTGAGATTAATGCCTTTTTATTGCTTTGTTGACCTCCAGCGGTAGCAGAGGTTGTGAGTGCCAGTTTCTGTGCAAGCACAATATGGAAATCTTTCAGATCTAAACTCCGTATTACTTCTTTTCAGAGATAATTTTCACTAGACTTAACAAGGGTCACAGCATGAAATTATTTTATTTCTGTTGGGTAAGTTTTCTTTTATTATATATATTTTTAAAACCTGAATTTAAAAAATAGTGGAAAAAAAATCTAAAATATATACGGGAAATGTGAACTCATATAAGAAAAGGGCAGTGGAAGTGATACAATTTTTCTGAATGGCAGTTTGTTCCACAATTGTGAAGGGATTCTGGCACTTTTTCTTGAAGCTTTTGTTATTGTTATGGATGGGATACTCTATCAGAAGGATCTGTCTTCTTTCGTCTCATAATTTCTGTGTTCCATGAAACCAACTTCTCAGCAGAAGCTGGTGATCTGTTGTTTGATGCTCAGTCACTGTTGAAGAACCAGGATGCGTAACTACAACACCATTTTCCTTTCAATTGTGACATTAATTAAAAAAACTCAAGAAAAAGAAGGATCAACTGGTAACAGGGAGTTATAAATGCTACTAAAAACCTGTGGCAAAACCAGTTATACTTAGCTGTACTGAAGCTCCAAAACCGTCTGAAAACAATTCCACCAGCGTCAGCAACCTTCCTCTACTTTAGAGTAAAACCTAAACGTGCATTTGATTAAAATGAATATAACCAAAACCTACCTTCCTCCCTCAAAACAGACAACCATGAAACCAACTTCTCCCTACCTCTTACCTTAGTTTTTCACTGGCCTCTAACTGAACCCACAGTTGTTCGTGCGCGGTGCACGTGAGCAAGTTAACTAATGCCCACACCTCACTCCAGCGGCAGCCCCTCAGTTGCGTTTGGTTTTGGCCCTACACATCGACTGAACCCTGGTTTATCCCACAGACGGGTGACTTGACACTAGCGAGGAAAAAGGCCCAAGAGCCAGATAGCTGAACTGGTCTTTGTGTGACAGAAAACGCCATTTTCAGGCCTCTAAGTAGGTATTGCCTGCAAGTTCTCCACCTCATCAAACGCAGGGCCAGAGCTGATCCTGAAGGGCTCCCCCAGCTGAAGACACTCACATTTTAAGTACTGTATTTACACTTGTCTTAAGCTCAGCCCTTCATTTCTTTGACCCGAGCAGAAGGATGAGTCAGGAGAGGGGGGAAATGCAGCATTCCCACTGCAGGTGCCCCCAGCAGTATATTCACCCCAAATTTTCTCTTGTTGTCCCCCCCTCCCCCCCGTCTCTGTGCCCTTCGAGGCCGGCTGCATAAAGCAATCGAGATGCATGTCTGCTCACACACAGAGGAAACGAGGTCCACCGAACTCCTCTAGTTCATCTCCTACTTACTTTCCATTGGGTAATCTTCGAATTAATAAGACTGGAACAAAAGAAAACCTCACAAATGCACTGGCAGAAAAAACCCTGATAAATGTTTAAATTATTAAAAATCCAATATTTCAGAATGCATAACACAATAAAAAGAGTATGACTACCCCATACAAAAGACTGCTAGGATAAATGGCCTTGCATTGAACAGATTTCCACTGTATGAAATAACGAATGGCTGAATTATCTGAACAAAAAAACCTCTGTGAATCTTCCTTTAAACTGGTTATTCCTTAGGAATACATAAATCTTCTTAGGCAGGGCACTCTGCCATCTGTTTGCTGTTGGTTATTTTTGCAGCTCTGGGGGCCAAAGGAAAAGGGGGAAAAATTACTTCTGCTAATAGCAAAACAGAATTTATAGCACAGTTTCAATGCTCAGAAGTAATTTTATTTCAGCAAGCCAGACAAAACACATAACTACACAAACAAAACATAATATTACCTGGGACAGCTCTGGTGGGGGAAAAGCAAGCTATTATCTAATGGTCTTTTCAATAGCTTTTCCCACTTCATCCAGATGGTGAAGTGTGCTGTCTGGACTAACCAATGGCTTCCAAGCCAGCGCTGGAAAAAACCTGGTTTTTTTTTCCTTTTCTTTTCTTTTCTTTTTTTTTTTTTTTTTAAAAATCTTGCTGATTAACAGCTTCCTTTCTGTTTCTTCTGCTAACCAAAACCATAACATAATATTCTTGAAAAATAAGACACCGTTAAATATCTCAGGAGCCCCTACGTAGACGAAAGAAACCCTCTGGACACACCAGACCCTAGAATCTCACAGTGGCCATTTTCTGCCCAGGACGCAAGGACATATAAAACTGACAGGGAGAAGAGATAGGGAAGGAGGCAAGGGATGAAGGAACAAAACAGGCTAAGCGGGGTAAAGAGACGGATACTGAAACACAGGCTCTTGGTAAGATACAATTCAAGTAGTAAGGCATCTCCAAAGAAATAAAAAAAAAGTAGAAACAAAACCAACTAAGAAAGTACATCAAATCACCTTAGCACAACCTACCCAGCCTTCAGAAAAACTTCAAAATCCCCAACATTTCAAAAAGGGCTAATGTAATCAGTAAAGCATGCACAGAAACTCCATGACTGGAATAGGGATTTGGGAGGATCCACTTCAGGGTCATTAAACTCCACCCAAACCCACCTCAATCAAAGAATTGATCTTTACTGAAGTATTATCCTGATGGAGGATAATTGTTAGGAGTTCAAGCTGAATACGGACTATAAAGCACATTTGCACAGAACTACATTCACCTGTCTTCGTAGTCACACACAAAGCTGCAAGGAATTCTAAATTCACAAGTTACAATATAAAGGATAAATCCAGCAGCTATCTTGAATATGCTTTTTTTTTGCAAGAGGAAGCTATGATTAAATTTCATATACTGGTATTTAAATAAACAAATGAAGAAACCCTATATATGGTTATATGAATTTTGGAAACAGTAAATATGGCCTATGTTTTCAGAACAGGGTAATTATTTTAAGTGCTCAACTTACAGCATTTTCAAGTCAAAGCAGGTGCACATCTCTTTTTTTAAACCAGTACCAACATTTAATATCTGAAATTGCAATCTTAAGAAGTAAGACACTGAAAAGCAACAGCAGCCTCTTAAAAGATGAGTTTTTTCTCCTTCCCACTCTTGCAGACACATACACACAAATATACATATACTTGCTAGTCAACACCTACGTCAAACTGGGTCCGAGTGTTGCTGGAACTGTTCAAAACATTGTACTCATCTACATGCTGTGCAAAAGGACTTAATGAAAAATGTATGAGTTACATTACGAAAAAATGTGAATACCGTAGCCTAGTTTCCAATCACTCCAAACTACCCAAGAGGGGTGACTCGAATGAGGAAGGCTATCCCTCTGCCACCAGCCCAGGGCTGGGACCGTTAAGCAGATGTGCGGAGGAAGGTCACTGCTGAAAGGTTACCCACCATTACCTGTTGAACTGTTCACCATGTTGGGTGCCATGCTGTAAGGAGGAGCCTGCGGGTTCATCAAGCCAGAGCTGTTGTTCATCGGCTGAGTGTAGGGGGAGCTGGATCCCATAATACCGCTCTGATTCATGGCAGGAAAATTGCCTTGCCTAGGAGAAGAAAGAGCACACACACGATGTCTCATTACGTACCTCATTGCTGAAGACGCTGTGGTTTGTCACAGAGTACATCTCCTATTGCTTGCCAATAGCTAAGGAGAAGGCACGCAATTAGTTCATTTTATCTACACGAGGAGCTTTGAATTAGTCTTGAATTAGTCACCGTATATCTGAGACAGAATTGGACTGAACACAAATTTCAAGAGACGCATACAGCATCTTTATACATCACAACCAATCAGCAGAAAAATACAACTCATACGATTTATCCTATGAGTAGGCAGCAATGTGATCAGGAGTCAAAACTGGAACCTAGCATTGGCATTAAAAAATTCCACTGAATTGCCATTTTGACCATGTAATAGAAATCCCTACCTGCCATAGCTTAAAAACCAGTGAAAGGACCAGAAGAAAAATGGGTACCATAGAATCTGTTTCAGATTTCTGTATCTGATGTTATCACATTTAATACAATGCTCATCTTTTGTACATGCCATCTATGTCCAATCTTTCAAAAAAACACATAGATAATACACTTTGTTGAAACAAGAAACCTCAGCAGAACTATTTTGGTTTTGAAAATTAATCACACATCTGTATAATGCTTTCATAATCGAGACTTAAGTCTGTCTGAAAAACTGCCCTAAATGAAGCCCTTACCTAATTCTCTACATCTTCAGATGTGAAGATCTTCAGATCAAATATTTTTGAAGGGTAAACCTTATGTACTCTTAAGTTCTAAAAAGTATCTAAGTACGCTTTGTACTTGATTTATCAAATTCCATAGATAAACTGAGGCACAAGGAAGACAACAATCTAATCCAAGCAAGCAGAATGACCCAATGTAATGCATGATCCAACTTCAAAAATAACCTTTTACTCTCTTAATCCATAATACAATTATCTACCTTTTCTAGGTATAGCTGAAGACTGCACATATTATGATATGTATATGGATACAGACGTATACATATAAAATCGTATATATAGAAACACATGCAAAAATATACTTACTTGTATATTCATAGCCTACACAGGGAAATACAAAACTCAGACCTGTTTCTTCAATGTACCCCCTGTAAATTTATGCTGTTTTTCCAAATGAAGGAGATAAGAAAGCAAGCAACCACCCCTTTATGTAGCTTTGGTAGCTGTCAGTTTTTTTTCCCTCATGAAAAACAAAGCATTTAATTTTCTCCTACAGGCAGGGAAAGCTGCATGTGCTGGTAGCAAGATGGAGTTTTGGTATAAATTCTACTTTTCCTTATTATACAGTATGCATAACAAAACAGACAACCCCCAAACCAACAACATTGAATAACTTCAGTGGCTTCTTGTCTTCTCCAAACTCATGGCAGATTCTTAACGCAATTGGTAGAAACTGATTTCTTTTTTAGGAGGTACAGGAGGAAGACCATTAAAGCACTATTTGGCCTAATTTTTCTTGACACATTGTGAATTTCTTCAAAGGAAAAGAGAATGTGTTATCTAAATCAAGCATCTTTTTCCAAGTCAGTTTTGTCCTTTGCTCTCTGAAGACAAACTTTTCTTCGCTCTCGCAAAGAGGCAAAGGCTTTCTTTTGAAATGAAGGAGACAACTGCCACACAATGTCACCTCCCTGATGAAGCCTGCAATGAGCAGCGGAGGGAAAAGATTTAAAATGCACAGTGGTGCAATGCTCCAAGGGAACATTACAAAGGGAAAAGAGAAGAACAGGACCATTTGGTAACAACTTTAAAAGATTTTGGTCGCACAATCAAGCTTTTCTTATGTAAATACTGTATCTTGAACACCCCACCCCCCTTTTTCAGCTGAAAATTGCTATATTTCAACAAATGCAGTTAACTGAAAAGGTCTTTCTATGCTGGATAAGCAAGATCCTTTCTGTTAGCGGGTAAAGTTACTAGTGAAGATGAGGAAAATGTGCAAGTGCATTTTTACACTTTAAAAAAGACGTTCCAGATTTTGAAAGGTTCTTTTATGGCGTAAGGCTGGGATTCTGGAGAAGACAGAAGTCTCTACAGGTATCTATCTCTCCAATGTCCTTCTTTTGCTTTAAAAATACACAGGAGATATGCACCTTGCAGGTAAGCTGATATTGGTCCTTATCTACTACTGTTTCAAGACTATTACTTCCTATAGACTATTACTTCCTATAGCATGTGTACCTTCTAAGCTGTGGGGCCGTTCATTGTCTCAAATTGAGGTACAACCTATTTCACATTACCCACTATGGACATCAATCTCAACTGTAGCTCATGAAAGTACACTGCTGTACAACAGCTTTAAATCAAAAAGTAGGAAACTATTTCCAGATTAGACAGAGAGCAGAAATTAAATAAGAGGAATATACTAGCTTGGCCAGGACAGCAAAGAAACAACTGAAGTCTAAAAAATTGCTTCTGTACCCAGAAAGACCTGAATGGCAGAACCTAATTCCGAAATTTCATTTGGCAAGGCAATACCTTTCCCTTTCATCCTCCCATGTAATGCCACTCCTGGAACGGACACAGTTCTCCATCTCTGGAAAGAGCCCAGTAAGGGAAAAGACTCTGCACCATCCCCGGCAGAACTCCGTCCTTCCCCGGTCCCCTATCAAAGCACTGACCGCAGCACACGTGAGCTAATTCAGTAACACCGAAAGGTGCCATCCTGCAAGAGTAAACATTGTTTTATCCTGAGATTGGGTGCAGTGCGCAGTACAGAGCTCCTCCACATATTATTCTGCTCTATGATGGCTTGGAATGGAAACTTTCTTTAGGGAGAAATAATCAGGTATTACTTCAGCCTTTAATTCTCACTCCACAGTGGGCCTCCTTTGAGTAAAGACTGCCAACTGTGACAAATTGTGCTGCATCAGTGCTGTAATATGAAGTGGAGTCCATTAAAAACAGAGCTGAGATCACCAAACTCATTTTGATTAACCTCCAGGTCACTAAACACTTATAAATATGTTACACAGCAGCTGCTAAACATATTTATATATGCTTAAGGTCACAGCATCATCTGTTGGTTGTTGGAGTTAAGTCAAAAATCTTATGTTTCCTTCTGTGCTGCTTTTAGTAAAGGCATATCCAACGTACCATTTAAGAAGTAGTTCTCTCAAAGCATACTACCAGATTCTCTCCTACATCTCCCAATTCCCTCCTCCATTTTTCTGGGAGGCGAAATAAAAATCAAGTCTTTTTTTAAAAACAGTCTGCCGTACATGTAGTGACATCTAATGGCAAAAATTCAACTGACCGGCTATGAATTCTACAGCAGAACAAACCCAGTTATACAGTTTTACAACATTTACCACATAGACACCAATGGCCGGTTCTTGCTTAGGGATGACGCAATTGATCATTAGGAATAATAGGAAGAAATTAAGAAAGAAACATTTATGTTGAGTATAATGAAAAAATATCTTCATGGTGAGATGCAGTTACCCTCCAAGGGAATGAAGGAAACCCCACTACTTGACACTTCTGCACACAGACAATGTATTAGAAAGTCTACTGGTCAGTGAAATCCTGCGTTACATATGAAGTAAATGACCCATCAGGCATCTTCCGACTCTAACTCCTCCAATACGTTGATCCCAGATCACATATTTTTTCCCATTTCAAAGAAAAAGCAACTGAGTTGATACAAATTTAGGATTATGCCACCAACTTAAACACTATACTTAAGCCTACACATTTCTTTGCCTGCTCTGCTGCTACAAGTAGATCTCCAAGAGCAAATGGAAGAGATTAAAAATGGGAAGGGGGGGAGAATCTGCTTGCTTTCTGTGGTTTATTTATTCTGTTGACAATTGAATAATTCACAGCGCTTGCACAATGCCAGAGTCAGTTGTTATGCCTGAGGAAAGGGCTCCCACCCAGGGGAACCTGGACAGCCTGGAGGAATGTGCTGACAGGAACCTTATGAAAGTCAACAGGGACAAGTGCAAGGTCCTGCACCTGGGAAGGACAAGCAGCGGTGCCGGCTGGGGCTTGATGGGGGGAGCAGCTTTGCAGAAAATCCCCGGGGCACCTTGGTAGACAGGGAGCTGAGCGTGAGCCAGCGGTGCCCTGGCAGCAAAGAGCGCCAACATCCTGGGCTGTGTGACCAGGAGCGGAGCCAGGCGATGGAGGGAACTTATCATCCCCGTCTTACTCAGCACTCATTAGACTCTATCTAGAATATCATGTCCAGTTTTGGACCCCCCAGTAAAGGAAAGAAACTGGAATGAGTTTAGCAGAGGACCCCTTAGATGGTCAGGGCTTGAGCACTCACCCTGGAGGGGCTGGAGGACAAGGGTTAGTTCAGCCTCGGGTAGAGACAGCTTTTGAGAGGAACCTAACGGCAAGTCCCCAGCACCTAAAAGGACATCAGCAAGAAGATGAAGCCGGGCTCTTCATAGTGGGGCACAGTGGGAGGATGAGACACAACGGGCAAGAGTTAAAACATGAGAAGTTCAGACTGGATGTAAGGAAACCCTTTTCCCAGTGAAAACAGTCAGGCACTGGATCTGGTGGCCCAGAGAGGTTGTGCAACCTCTGTCCTTGGAGGTTTTCAAGACCCAGCCAGGTAAAGCCCTGAACTCTCATCTGAGCCTGCTGCGGAGGAGGTTGGACCACAGACCTCTTGGGGTTCCTTCCAGCCCGAATGACTCAATGGTCCTAGACTGTCAGCTTCATTGTGCTCTTGATACTGTGGTGTACTATCAGGTCCAAAATACAACTGGTCAAATTCAAAACATTCCCTTTTAAGAAGGTCCTGTTCTGCTCTTTTGTTTTCCTTCATTTGCAATCTACCCGAAGCTTAATCTGTACTTAATCTCTTTTCCCTGCAAAACAAGTAGCATCAGATCTAATTGTGTCTTCTGAGCTAATGCAGAAGTCCATGTATTCAGAGAGAGGAGATGACATGCAAGATCTGGTCATCATTAAAAAGCAGAACAAAAACTGTAGGAAAGAAGATCCTGACAATACAAAGGAGCACACAAGTGATCACAGCTGCC